GTAGAGCATTCGGAAGGTGTACATCGTACAATAATTTTATATGCATTTCGACTTGCATATAATTCTAAGTAGTAAACATGTTGACTGAACTGGTGTTTTTAACTTTCATCATTATCTATAAAAGGATGAATCAATGTGCATAATCTGTTTTTGACTGTAGTTTCATTGCATTTTAGTTACAGGTTAGCAGAGTAAGTACAGGTTGAACCTCACTGATCTGACATGTTTGGGACCAACCCCATTCCGCATTACTTAAATTTCCAAACCAGAGAAGCTAGGGTTAAAAAGGCAAAATAATGTATCATTTCATATAATTCTTTTCGTTTCATTTTATATCGGCAGTTCATATCTCCGGGACAAAAATTGATGTTTGTAAATTGAAAGCTATCTCCATTTTGATTGTACAAGTAGAACTTTGAAGTTAGTAAGATAAATTAGTAAAGATAAGCATGAAAATGGCCATGACTGATACACAGTTATGCATTATGGGATCACATCGTCCATACAAAATTTGACACAGTTTTATTAGCTGCTTTCAATCCTGATGTAAGAAACGTAATTGTACTATAAACTAAGCAAACTATGCCCTTCCAGGCATTCACAGTCTGTCATAGGCATAAGTTAAATTTTCCTATCTAGGAATTTACATTGCTGCTGGATCCAGTGGGGGGGCTGATTACACTGTTATCACTAGCAGACATTGCCCGTTTCATAGTTTTACCTGTAGTTGTAACTTGTAAGTTATTTATATGCTAAGCATGTGCAGTGTGCTGGGAACATTGTCACAAGTACAGAGTAGAGCAACCTCACATTTCAGCTTGTGTTTGCACTTCGAAAGTAACTTTGTAAATGCTTCGTGCGCGCGCGTAAACAGCAGGGCTGCAGACGCGCGTGCAATCTAAATCTGGCACTTCGCGCGCGCGCAGTTAGAAATGGTATGTAGCTTGAGTGTCCAGTCTCTGCCTGCATACATGTGTATGCGCACAGCGAGCTCTAAGTCTGTCGTTTGCACGCGCGAGTGCATGCATGCTATACCCTGACGAGTTGCTGTCCTTTTGCAGTACGTGCGGTGCCTTCTCAGCAGTGGCGGCGGCGGCAGCAGCGGCGGCGGCAGCAGCAGCAGCAGCGGGCGCGGTGGTGCGACAGTAGCGTATTTCGGCAGGTGCTAGGGCCATAAGCTCAACGGGGTAAGCAAAAAAAACCACAGCAGAACAAACCCCGAAACCCACAAAACGCTGCGCTTTGCACCGCGTCGCAATTAACCCCGTCACGCTTCCCGACGCTTGCGGCGACAGCACGATGGACAACGGCGATGGCGAGAACATCGAGGAGGAGAACACTGACAGCTACTGCCGCGACTTCATGCGCAACATCTGCACGCGCGGCCAGCGCTGCAAGTACCGCCACCCGACGGCCGACGAGCTCGGCGAGATGCGGCCCGACATCGAGTTCTGCCACGACTTCCAGAACAAGGAGTGCCACCGCGTCAACTGCAAGTTCACGCACTGCACGAAGGAGGAGGAGGTCGAGTACCGCGCGTCAGGCCAGCTGCCCGAGCACATCCGCAAGGGCATGCAGGTCGGGCTGAACGTCGCCGACGCGTCGCGCGGCGAGATACCCGTCTGCAAGGATTACCAGAAGGGCGAGTGCAACCGCGGCGGCAAGTGCCGCTACCGCCACGTCGACTACCGCGAGGAGCTTGACGGCGCCGACCGGCCGCCGATTCGGCCCTTCGAGCGCTACACCCCCTACGACGCCTACGACCCTTACGAGCAGGATCGCTTTGCGCCGAAGCGGCGCCACTTCGACGAGTCGTACAACGACGGCAGCGGAGCCGGCAGCGGAGCCGGCAGCGCACCCTACGGAGCCGGCAGCGCCCCCTACACAGCCGGCAGCGCCTCCTACGGAGCAGGCAGCGCCCCCTACGCCTACTCGGGGCCGATGCGGCCGACGACCGTTGAGTGGCAGCAGATGAAGGACGAGATCACGGTGTGGCGCGGCAAGTGCGCGCAGTTCGAGAAGCAGATCACCGAGCTGAAGGCGAAGAACGACATCCTGATGGATCAGAACACGCGGCTGCAGCAGCAGGCGCAGATCACGACCGCTGCGTCGATGCAGACGCAGGCAATTGCCCAGATGGCGCAGAACGCGGCCGTGCTCGGCACGCGCGAGCGCGCTGAAGCCCGAGCTCACCCAGTCGATTGTCTCCTCCCTCGCTCCCCAGGTGGCGGCAACGCCGGCGCTGACGGCAGCTGCCGCGGCTAACGTGTCCCCTTGCCAGTCCCCTCAGCCAGGACATCATCTCCTTCAGTAGCGCTAATACGCCGACCCTGCTTACCTACCCCGTCGTTTCCCGCGCCCAGGGCATGCGTCATTGAGCGTGTGAGGTATCGGCTCGCTGCTGCGGGTTGCATAGCATGCGTTGCGTAATTCTTTGTGTGTGGGGGTTGGACATAAAATCTAAGGATTCTTGATATGCAGGATCGCGCTATTATTAAATGTGAGGCCCAAGTTGTGGGGGCACACTCAAGGTAGTTTGTGGATTACAGATTTTAAATACAAACTTTCAATTTTCAACAATTTACTGTCAATCACTGTGGAGCAGGCCCGAGAAGAAGGGCAGGTGGGGTGCACTGGATATCTCTATATATATATATATTAAGTTAGATGTTTAATTTGAATGCTTGAAGTTCTCAAACATTCAATTTTTTGAAACTCAATTAAAAGTAATTTTTATCAAATTTTGTCATGCGTAGGTGCCCAAAATATGACTTAACTGCTTTGGCGGACCCACCCCGCCCAACCCAGAGTAAAATATATACCGTGTAAACTGTGTGTTAATGCCACTGTACAACTACTAATTACTAATTATATCATGTCATGAGTTGAAAATGTTTTTTTAATTATTTTGGGTTGGGTTAAATATCGTAGTTTTTGTGTTAGCAGGAAAGATCCGTCGTTCATTCTCATTCATGTTTGTAGAGCATTCGGAAGGTGTACATCGTACAATAATTTTATATGCATTTTGACTTGCATATATCTAAGTAGTAAACATGTTGACTGAACTGGTGTTTGTAACCTTTCATCATATCTATAAAAGGTGAATCAATGTCATAATCTGTTTTTGACTGTAGTTTCATGCATTTTAGTTATAGGTTAGCAGAGTAAGTACAGGTTGAACCTTACTGATCTGACATGTTTGGGACCAAACCCATTCCGCATAAGGCAAAATAATGTATATACCACATCAGTACTGATGCCGATACAACTTACATGAACATAAACATAGCCCTGGCTTACTGGACCTGTTTGTAATAGTGATGGTGGTGTGGTATTGCACAGGTTTATTGTACTACGACATAAAACTGAGTATATTAGTACAGAAATAGATTCAATCGTTCAGAACCATCGCAGCTCCTAAACCCTCATTTTATGGATTAGTGAGGTTCAACTGTATCAAATGCACCAAACAAACTGGTCATTCATGGAATTTCCTTTTTAACAATTGTATAATTCTCTAGAGTGACCATTCAAGTTTTGATGTCGTAATAAGTAAGGTATTGTTTATTCTATCACATTGGATCGCACATTGTATGTATTGGGTTGATCTTCACATATTCGCAGGTAAGTTCAATGGTAATGTTATATTGCTGAAAAGAGTGAAAATCATTTTGCTGCATGTTTGTTCGACACATTTACTAAATTTACTCAACATGTATACCATAATTTCTAATTTCAAACCAGTTTCTAGTTTCCCATAATATGCTATTCGTACGTGGTCCCAAAGTAAGTGTGTTGAAGACAGACTCCTGAAGATTTTTGAGAAGAAGAGGCAAACTCACAATGTTTACATGCACATTTCGTATATGGAATGTTTCATAGTTGTTTGCATAGATGCAATCCATATGTGATTGTGAATATAACTGCAAACTATAACATATGACAAACTTTGAGAATTTTCAGTGGTGTATAACGATCTCGTGTGTCGTGTTAACATGAACATTTCATGATGTATGTCTATGAAAAATAAAAAAATCCATCGTTTCCGGCTACTGTTGTCATCAAAACGATTCGTGTTCATTAATGTTGGTGTTTGCGTCGTTGTACTGGAGCACTCTGTTTTGAAGAAGCAATGGACAAACTGTTGTTTCTAATGCTGCGTTTACACTATCGATTTTTGTCAGCAAATCGTGCCGATTTCAAGTGCATTCCAACTTGCCCCCGACTTAACCCTAGTGCATTCCAACTAATCGGCTGAAATTCGATTGTGTTGGAGTCTGAGTCAAGTCGCCGAGTTGGAGAAATAGAAAGTGTTCTATTTTGCATGACTCGGACGATTTGCTGACAAAAATCTATAGTGTAAACGCAGCTTAACGATGACAGTCTTCAACAATTAAAAACAACACATGTATACACGTTCATGTTCTCCGTTTCACTGATTTATATTTCACGATTACAACTTGAAAGCTTTTGAACTGCATGAATAATGTTACTCTTAGTTCTCTAAATGCCCTCTTGATATTATCAATAACTTAACCTAAAATTCATTACTGTTGCAAAAGATGTATAGTACACATGCATTAATTTGGTGCAGACAAGGTGGTGTTCACCCTTTGTGGTGCATCTTGTGGGCGTTTGGTGTGGCTAGTTCTGCTAGTCTTGGCACTGGTTTCGCGTGTAAGGCACCCTGTGAGATCTTGTAAGGGTCGTAGTTGTCGTCAATAGTAGGGCGGTTCTTTGGACGTGAGATCTCGTCTATGCGTGGACTGGCCGTTACCTTTACGTGTGTTCAGAACGAGTTGGTTAGTAACCATCTATGCACTTTATCCTAATATCATTTTTACACTAACCTAAACTTGTAATTAAATTTTTCAACCTAATCCTAAAATTAAATGTTTTTTCTATATCCATCAGTGCATGGCTAGTATACACCACTTATAAAACTATCCGTGTGGATTTGTGAAACTGGGGCACATGGGCAGAAATATAAATAATTAAGACTATCGTAAGTCCAAAATTTCAACTTTTGCACTCCATTTAAAAAAAGTTATATCATTTTATACTTTTGGTGCCATAGCAACTTGCGATGTTTCGGACTACTGTCCCATGCCACTCACCTGCAGTGCAGTTGGTGCAACAGGCCAGAAGACTGATCGGTTTGGTTTATACTCTAGATGAGTTGGCTTAGGAGCTGCAAGAGCTTGCAGATGCTCCGATAGCTCTGGCTTCTCTGTCTCTCTTTCCTTTGATGTCGGGTTCCACCAAATTGTTGACACTATGGACGTTTCACTTGATGGCTGTTACAGGCACATAAGTATGTATTGTGAAAAATGCTATACGATAAAAATTCGGCAAAGCTACTGTGCCAAATATTAAAATTAGTGCTATTTGTATGTATAATTTTATTAACAATTATTGTAAGTAAATACAGCTATAGTTAGTGGTGTTCCGATTAATCGAGTTCGTCGATCATTACTCGTTTGGGCTATCAATTTTTTTTGATTGAATTTGATGAGCAGTTATGTTGCAATGCCCTTTAGAGTGTTACCCGTCCGTAACCCTAACAGTATCCTTAATTTACTTACCATTAAATACTAGCTACACATACAATAATGTCAATATTCCTTTTCAATACACCGGTTGTGTCGACGCAATCTAAAATGATCGATGATTAATCGATCATCGGTCGTTTTGTAAAACTGATGATCGATCATGAAATTTGGACCGATCTCCAACACTAGCTATAGTTGTGTTAGGCTACTTTTAGCATTTTCCTTGAGTGGCAATTATATACAGGTTTTACTGTAAATTTTTTTTTTAATGTACCTGATGGCACTTAGCTAGCTCTTTCAGACGCCGTGATGCTTTTGCATTCTTTGCTGCTGGTGATACTACGGTGTAGGAAGATCTCAGTGGTTGGTAATCTTTTGGTACAACTCTTGGCAGTGATAGTATCTGAATTCTTCCATTTGCTATGGCATTCTTAGCAGCTCTACTTACGGGTGAAACAGGGGTTGGTCTGAAACAGTTGCGTAATTAGTTGTGTGTATACAGTAAAACTCGCATAAGTCGACACTTTTGGGACCAGCATATTTGTGTCGACTTACGAAAATGACGACTTACGCGCAAGTCGTCATTTTGTCGACTTATACAATGTATGTAATGCGCCTATACACTGTATTAGCTGCCTTGCGTAGCAGGACATTTGCGGTGCACGTCTGCCAAATTTTCCTGGAACACTTGCTGAAAAAAAAAAACGGTAATTCCGCGAGGCCCTAGACCGAATGTATTCCCTAGACCGTACACTGCGCCATCGGCATTTCCGATGTCGAGTTACAGATGAGAAATTACTGTTGTTTGTATTACATGGGACCTGTCTGAGGGCGTCGACTTGTACATAATGACAACTTATAAATGTCGACTTAGGCGGGGCTATTCCAATGGATTTACTATGAGAGCGAATCGGGACTTTGACTTCCATGTCGACTTACGCGAATTGACTACTTAGACGATGTATATTATATATATATATTGGATTGGTCAGATCAATATTAGATTTCATTTATATCTATACAAGGTGTGTGTGCATGGGAATCATAGAGGTATGAAAACTATTTTTTCCAAAATTTTGTTCGGAATCTATAACGTGCTTATGTAATGTGAACATAAGGCTTTTTAAATAATGTACTCAAAAATAATATAAATAATGGAGCATCATTTGTAAGTCTACATAGTTATACGAGCCACCGATAACCAACTTTTATAAAGCCTAGTTATGGATACCTATCGCCCATGTAGTCAGGATGCCACTTTTTAGATGCAGCCAATAGTGGAAAACGTTTGCCTGTGGATGAAAATAAATGCAGTTGGTGTTTGCATAAACAAAATTCAGTGGTTTGATGTATCAAGTTTCCATGTCCACAAATATGGTATTTATGAGGTCATGGCTACAATCTATTCTATGACATAGTCTGGAATAAATTACACTTATAATCAGCTCCATGTAGGATGTTATCACATTGGCACAGCGACAGCAAATTCTATGTGAGATCTAAAATAGTTTGCCGTAAAGGCATTCAGCACCCATTCAGACGAAGCTTTTATGTCGCTCAGCGGCAGCAACCAGACAATGCGCGAGTAACGCTGATATATGATATACGATTGAATTTCATCAATATTTTTTAATACGTATAGACTAAATAATGACAAGCAATATGTCGGTTATAAGCTAATATGTGTTAATATTGAAATTTCGCTTGAACGTTTGTTTATTCACAAATCATCTTGGAATTAATCTCTTGTTACACATCTTACAGCTGACAAATGACAGTTATTACTTTAGCTACGTACACTCACCGTGGCCTTCACATCCATCTTCTCTCGTAACTGGTCGCTTGGAAAGCCAGTAGACAGAACGCCTGAAATAATGGGTGCGTGGGCGTACAATACATGCCAATACAGTCGAAAGTTTTTTTAAACAGCCAAACGTGCACTACTACAGAATTCACTTCATTTCTATTTATATTAATGTCTCTTAAGCATAATTTAATACAGACCATTGCTAGAAAATGGTAAACAATATATAAACAAAAAAGATAACTGATGAAAGTTAAAAGACACTGTAATGAAGTGTGACAAGTGCTTTGGCCGTCCTGCATGCAACCAGTAAACAAATGACATCATGTCCATACAAACCTATCTCTTATAAAACCAGATGGAACTGGTTTTGGCTCGGCAAGAATACTGATGCGAGGTATAGTGGTACATACACCTGAAAGATAACAAATACAGTAAAGGTTATAATTTACTTAAACTATGTATTGTATAACATTTCATACCATATACAATTTAATCCACAGCGTGTTACACACTGCATGCCCTTTCATGCGAAAAAGCTGCTGAACTGCTTGTATTCAGTCTAATAGTCGTAAAATATATTAGTACTGTAGTACACCATAAAAGGTTTATATGGCAATGACTAAATGTAGTTAAGATTGATTATGATAATAATGATATCAAATCCATATATTAACAGAGTGATCAGAGATGAGTAACAGCAATGTTTGCAAAAATACTTGCATGATTGGTAAAGATACTTATTATATGATCTGTATAAGTTTGTAACTGGCCATAGAAATGTTTATAGAAATGTATATTATTTTTTATCACAAGTGCCAATCTCCTAACGTGTCCAACACAGCCACGAGAAGTCAGCACTGCTCCAAACAATCCTATAGAATACTCTGCAAGAGGCATGTCTGCACATGGCCGGATATTCTTACAGGACATAGTCTTCTGGGACACAAGAGTTAGTCTGCATATAGATTCAGGACTTAAAAGTCAATTACCCATCCCGGTATAAAAACTATAACATATGGATCCATTCAATGATCATAAAACTATGTATTGCTATGCATAGTATCAGGAGTAAGATAATATAGGCCTCCTGATAGTATGATAGTATCACACATTGCCATAAAATTAAAATTTCAAGGAATTTTAGTCAAGACTCAGAGAATTTTTTATAGCTACAAGTACATGCGTATAAGATGCCATTCTGTGGAATTTTATAGTGCAAACGGTATGTCAATGGAAATCTCACACGTGGGCACATTGGGCTACTACTGTTACTACAGTCAGAATTCACTACTTTCAGTGTTCTCGCTTTGAGTTTCCAAACAAATGGTCATCATGTTAATAGCTCTTGTCTCATAGCGGCAGCGAAGGCACTACACCGGTAGAGCTATGGATATCCTATACCACAGAAAGGTCACAGCCACTTATTAGAAGGTATTACAAATTAATTCATATATTCAGTGTCTGTCTGTCTCTGTCTCTGTCTCTGTCTCTCTGTCTCTGTCTCTGTCTCTGTCTCTGTCTCTCTGTCTCTGTCTCTGTCTCTGTCTCTGTCTCTCTGTCTCTCTCTCTCTCTCTCTCTCTATCATCCCAATACATCCAACAGTTTATTGTCGTTTTCTTGTGTCCCACTCACTCCTATATATGCAACCTATGAGAATTTGTCACTATTTGTGAGATTTATCTCAATCCAGCATGACTCCTCATACTATATAAGTATTTCAATGTCATTGACTTTAATAGATTCATGAACATCTTCTTCCCTAGCCTGTTGGCCACGTTTGTATGATGTATCTCATATTTATCAAGTTTGAAGTCCACCAAATGTTGTAATATCTAAATAGTTCTTAATTTATAATAACTTCAGTTATTGCCATGATATGTGGCGTTGCTATGCTGACAATTGTTTTTAGCTCAGTCATTTTATTGGAGAGAGTCAGCATTTGTATATATATATGCAGCACAGTTTATCAACAAACAATGTATTTACATGATGTACATTTCATACAGGTTTCTTTCCAGATTTCCTGAGACCTACTCTTTCTTTTATATTTGTTTTAATGTTCTTTTCCATAAAGTGTCCTCTTACTCTGTAGATGAAAGGGGAATCGGGCTTCTCGTGCTCCTCCTTTTTGGCTTCTGCAGCCATGATCTTGTATTCTTCTCTATCTGACTGTCCAGTGTCTGGTCATGGTCAATATTTATACCTTTGTGCTCCTTTATTGTTGACACAGCTAATCCACTTAGGTTCCTGAATAGGCCTTTCTTCACATCTGAGAATTTGAAATTTATTTCCTACTCTTGGTGTCGTGTTGACACTGTCTTCTCTTGTCTTGTCTTGTCTTGTTATGTCTTATCTGCCTTATCTTATGTTATGTGTCTTATCTTATATGTCTTGTCTGCTACTGTACTAATCGCCTGGTGTGGCTATAGCCGTACAGGTCAATATGGATCACTTTTATGTTCTAAATTTTCTTCACTTTTTCTTTACTGCTGTTGAATAAGTTTTTAAATGAAGCCACATCAGGAGCAGTCTTGGTGGAAGGGCATTCCATGTTAATATTGGCCGGGGATAAAGCGAGTATCTATAACAGTCTTTGTTGTGACGGATGACATTATAATTCAGTTCATGTGTTTGACGAGTAGTGGGTCTGGCTGAAGCATTGCTTGTCAGGTGGTGACTGATGTTGGATTAGAGAATGTTTGTGAGTTTCTTTATATATAGTTATGAGACGTGCCTTTTCCCTTCTGTCTTGAAGTGTATCCCAGTTGAGATCACGAAGCATATGAGTAACACTGCTGGTGCGTCTGTAGTCATTTTTGACAAACCTAACAGCCCTCTGCTGGACCTTTTCTAAATTTTCCTGATTAATTTTCGGGTATGGGTCCCAGATTGGGCTGCAATATTCCAGCCTTGGCCTCACAAGGGTTTTATAAGAAATTTCTTTGGTGTGAGGGAAACAGTTCCAAATGTTCCTTTTCCGTAATCCCAAAATACTGTTTGCTTTGTTAACGGTCTGATTTATGTGGTTAGCCCACGATAAATTGCTGGATATCTCAATCCCCAAGTAAGCATGGTGATCCACAGATTTCAGAGTAGAACTTCCCATGCGATAGTGGTGTGGGGCCGTGAAACGTTTCTGATGGGTCACGTGCATGATGAAACACTTGGAAGTATTAAAATTAATCTGCCAAGTTTCCTCCCATTTGCAAAGAGAGTTGATGTCTTCTGATGTCTTCCTGTAAGGGTCTAATGTATCACACTCACAGTCACAGTCCTCACTCTCAGGGGAGTTGATAGTTTTGTACAAAATCAAATCATCTGCAAAAAGTCTCACTTCAGATGATAGTCATGATACCCACTCTGGGAGATCGTTTATGTATGCTAAAAACTACAGGGGACCAAGAACAGTCCCCTTGGCTTGGGAACGCCAGAAAATACTGGTGAGTGTAGTCTTGAGTTAATTTATTGAATATTGGGGGAATTAGGGGGATGCCTTAATTTCTACGTCTACAACAAAGTCAACATTAACTTCTATCTATAACAATTCTTTAGTTAATTGTAAATCTGAGGATATAAATCCGTAAATCCGTCTTAGATATAGTCCATTGTACAATATTTATGAGGTTACTACAAAAAAAAACACATACCAGAGACTGCCATTTGTGTACGTTGTTATGGTATTTAATTAAAAAGCGCCCTCTGTCAGAGACACGCGCTGGGGTAGACTGGATCTCTATCCTTGGCATCTCCCACCCACAGTAAGTCGTGAAGCGATAAGAGAGGATAGCGACCCCGTCTAGTGAGTCGACCGGCGTTTGTTGTGTGCAGAGCATTTATCTTGTGTATTTTGTAGACGTGGTGTTGGGACACAAATTCCACAGTGTCTCTTCCTGTCATACGTAACACAGTGTATGGTGTACGAAATATAGCTATCGACTTGAGAATCATGACAAGCGAAAACGATTCCAAATCTTCTGATGGTGTTTTTCCTGACACTGACAGTGGTGTCATTGGTTTCATAGGCGCTGGCAAAATGGCTACTGCGTTAGCTCTAGGCTTCATTTCATCAGGCATGTATCACTATCACTAGACACTACTACTACTAGTACTATTGGTTCAAGGATAGAGAACATGGCCCGACCAGGCTGTGTGAATAACATCAATATACATTGGAAGAGATATTGGTCGGTATTCTAACCTTAGCAATACCGTTTCTTGGAGCTAGAGCTAACAATGTATTGCTAAAGTCTAATAAATAACGCTGTGGCTAGGGGGCCTATATGCCCGGCAGCCGGGCACGGTCTTCGTTTTCCTAAATGCCCGGCAGTTCCTAACCCTAACTCTAAACCTAACCCTAACTCTAAACCTAACCCTAACCCTAACAAAAACCCTAACTCTAACCCCAACCCGAACCCTAAACCTAATCCTAACTCTAACCCTAACCCTTGTTTACTTGAGATAACACTAAAAATTAAAAACTGCCGGGCATTTAGGAAATCGAAGACCGTGCCCGGCAGCCGTCAGATATATGCCGGCTGCCGGGCATATAGCCACTCTGAATAAATAACCCAATGCAACAGCAACATCGTATTAAAGCCAGGTAATACTAATAGTAATACAAACGGTAACCCTACTCTTATTCAGTTATTGTACCTCGCCCCAACCCGTACCCGTGATTTGTGTAGCCTGCCGTGATCTCTCGGTTCAAGGATAGTTTGGGACCCCCGCAATATCTTTTCGCATATGAGCTACACTAATCTTGGGTGCTAAACTAGGCTTAGGCCGATCTCTCCACCGTACACGATATAATTAGACCAATAGATTGTGCCATAAAAATGCTCATAAGCCTACAATACCGGTGACGTCACGCGTGCGCACCCCAGAATATTTCAAACGGAATTGCCAGTAGTGCTGACTTTGAGTAATAAATGCATAAATAAAGTTGTGGAAAGTGTTCAAAAAGATAGGTGAGATGTCCATGTAGATAAATAAGTGTTAAAAAGCCCGATCATTTTCCGTTTTGTGAGCCATTTTGAGTGGAACCTGTCGGGACCCGGTGTTGCTGCGAAATCCAGTTCAAGATGTTCTATAGCCCTGCGGCAGTTAATGAAAGCGGGCTATAGTACTAGAGCTACCATAGGGGGAGCTTGGAAGCTGTTATAGGCCCTAGAATAGCGTCAGATTATAAAAATCTGTAGGGCACAATTTATTGGTCTACAATATCATGAACATGTTTACACACGTAAAGCTGCGTTTACACTATCAACTTTTAGTTGAAAAGGTAATGAGTTGATCAACTTTTCAACTTTCTATCAACTTTCTATCAGATGTTTGGCACGTTTATACTATCGACTGCAAGTTATTAAACTTTTCAACCTTTCACCTTATGCGTGCGGTGATGGATATGCATTCTTGCATTAAGTTGTTCGTACCAACTATAGCACGTGTGCCGCCAGTAGCAGAAACGCATGGGCAAGTAATCTCCCTCAGGGCGGGGGAGATTATACCATCCCATGATAGCTATTATCTGAGTTGCTGCATGGCACGCTGCAAAGGTTGGTCAACTCGCTGCGAGGAAGTTGAGAAATTAGCATCAGCATTTCAATTATAAGTTGATAGTGTCAACCCAGCTTGAACATATAAATGCACTCATGATCGATGGTATTAATTGACAATTGATTAGTTGATATTGGGTCATACCGAAGTAAATAGTTTCAGTGAAAGTAGCACCTACCGTAGTTCCTACCGTATAATTGTGTGTGTGCAGCATTGGTGCGTGCGTGCATGCGTGTCGTGTGTGTTGTGTGTGTGCTTATTTATATATGTGTATATCCATGCTAGAATGTAGTATATTTTCATTTGCTCATGAGAGGAACGATGTACCGTCAACACTCAGCTGCATACAATAGCATACAGCAGCAATGTAGGTGTTGTCAGGTATACGGTAGTTCCAATAAATGGTCATACATCAAAAGACAGTATTGTGTATGAGCTTTGTCTCGCAGCCTAGTAAGTAGTAATGCTAGGTATACAATACCCCTTCTGATGGCATACATATGTTGGTGGTCCTAATGAAGCCAATTTCACTACCTAGTTACAAAACTTGCCTAGGCAAAATCCTTGTCAATGTTTCTTCACTATGTACTGTTAGCTCTACTTTCGTATCGTATCGTATATTGTCCCACTCTTGTATTTCACAAGGCATCACTTCTGGTGAAGGTGCGAGGATATTCTGGGAATGTAAACTTTCATCTCATCATTTTCATTAATTTGTACCTCCAGCATTTATTTCTGCTAATCTTGTTCTTTGATCTCTATATTTTAGTAATTTCCTCACGTGGTCGGAAGCAATTTTATGTAACTTGGGATCGTCACATTTCCAGTCTTCAATGGACTCCCCTTTATTTATATCCCCATATTCAAGGCCATTATACAGTGAGTGTTATATAGATGTAACAAGTCTTCTTTTTCTCCCCCACTACACAAGTCACACCCGTCATTAGTGTACTTATTTTTAAAGTAAGCCTTTAAATCTATCATGCATGTCTTGCATTTAAACACAAAACAAGAATCCTCATAGGACATTGACGTCATATAATTCTTTAATCCATAATTATTATAATATTAATCATTTTCAATTTTGTTTTTGTTGCTCCTTCCCCTTCGTCCCTTTTTATCACGTTTTTTAGAATGGCCTCTTTTACCATCTTTTTCCATCTCATTTATGATAATGCGCCAATAAATAAGAATGACATATTTAATTTATATTCTTCAATTTTGTCTATGATTTCATTTGCCCAATTTTTCCCTCATATTTTAATTGCTGTAACAACACTCTTCTCATTAAACGTTCTTGCTCTAAATTTATTATGTATTGTAATAACATATTAATCTTTTATAATACATTAATCTTTTATAATAACACTAGCCACCTGTGTTCTACATAATGTTGCAGTTTGTAGACCTGGGAGCCACCCATGCAGCCTCATAAACCTCAGCTGGCTACAACATGAAGTGGCTGTCTAACTTTTTAGTTGCACATAGGAGCAGAGGTGGCTGGCTAGGAAAAAAACCTGGCCGGCCAGCAATGAGTGCCAATTTTCACTTTTGTTCACATAGTATTGTGTATAATAATTTACTAAAATTCTGTAGTGTTCTTGTAGGTTAATGTAGGTAATAGGGCCCATTACTGAGCTAAGGGGTATACCTATAATAAACATATATCTTATGTAGTCTGTACATAATTATTACAGAATGCACTTAGAAAAACACGTACGTACAGGGACATAGTAACGTTCTGACACCATACAGTTTTAACAATGCTAAAACACAATATAGAAATGTTTGTAATAAAATAATGTTGTCAAAAAGTAAAGTATGAACATTTAAATGCTGAAAATACGCATTGAGAAATGAGAATATACATTACCGTATAGTACAGTCGTGTAATATTCAATCTATAATTAGGTTGAAAAAGTAGGCTAAACCAATAAATGGCCGTATTTATCCTTAGTCTGGCAATATTCTCTGTATTTATCATAGGAACGGAGTATGCGACTGCAAACCAGTGTCAAAACTCACACTTCAATGTTGACCAAGCTGAGTGTAGTGGCCATAGGGCAACTAGCTTCTACTAGCGCAGATGACTGACTTATATTTTGAATTGGTGGCGGCTGGTGATTACCAAGTAAAAGAGATAAGAGCAGCGATTGGAGATGGCTTCCAGGTTGTAGCAGATTGTGATGTGGCCTTGGAACTTGGGAGGCTACAACGCTAGAAGTCGTATACGAAAATATGATCTACATATTTATCATCTGCTGAAGATATCATCACAAAACTAGTCTGAAGGTTATAAAAACCAATAAATTCCTAGCAGGTAGCAAGCAATAGTACTACTAATTTTAATGCTCACACTTCTCCATTAGACCAACTCTCATAAGGCATGCAGACCTGACACTATTCTAGCAAGACTACTCGAAGATCTAGCACACACTGAGGAATAGCGTTGATCTAGAAGATTGAAGGATGGCAAAAGTTGCTCCCAATCAAGTGCCTCCTATCAAAATTACATTAATATGGGATATGAGGCAATAGTCGCCGATGAATAAAGGCACCTCTGTCGAACAACAGTACAGTTTCTTTCCACACATAGTGCCTAGGTTGACCATGCTACTGGCTGCTACAATTGAGGCCCCCACCTAGGAACCTAATTTACAGAAAGCTAGCCATCTTCCCCATATGAGCGACGCAAACACCCATCTGCGACTAGTACTTAGTGAAGGTGTGGGGCTATGTCAACTAGGTTAAAAGGAACCAGAGACCGCTACAGTAACAGGTTGGTTTAAACAAGAAGGCACAAGTACTATAGGACATTTACCTGTTCCTTTTTTCTTTCCCCTCTACCCTTTCTTACTACTATCATATTTGTTTTCCTAAACAACTGTTTGTTAAATTGTTCGTCTTCTTCCTCTTTTTTTTCTCTCGACTGCCAATTATGGTCAATTGGGACATATGTTACTTACAGCTAGGTATAGATAGGTAGGCAGATAGGCAGATAGGCAGATTGGTAGACGTAGTACGTACATACCTATATATATATACACATACATAGGTGCATGCATGGATACATGGATAGATGGATGGATGGATAGAAAAACCTGACAGAGATTAAACCTTGGGTCTCGGCAGTAACATCCTTCTGACAGTCGTGGCTTTCCTTGCAAAAATTGGCATTTACATATCATAGCTTATAATTATGTGGTCTTTATTCAGGATTGGTACCGGCGAATAGGATCATTATGAGCAGCCCACAGTCAGAATCACAAGAGCTAAAGGTAGCCACACATTAATCTACATGTGTGTGCATATTGCACAGGAAAAACTAAATATCATGTTTCACCACACAATACACAATATAATACACAATTACATAATAATTACATCATTAGTATCACAATATTCTTAAAATAATAGTATCACAATCGTTTTTCCATAACTGTAATAGTATTGGCAATAATATTTCAACTATCGCAATACTATCGCAATAGTAAAGTTGAGTTATCCGTTACCTGCAGCAGCTTTTTGTGTTCACATCAATGCTACATAATGTGATGGAAATATTTCTGTTTCAGGATGCTGGAATAAATTTCAATAGAGATAACGTACACGTTGTAAAAACAAGTAGTATTATAATAATCGCAGTAAAACCTCATATTGTTCCATGTGTGGTACAAGAAATAGCTCCTTACATGAAGCGAGACTGTCATTTAGTAATGTCAGTTGCAGCTGGCATCAAGCTGGAATATTATGAAAAGGTAAGCAATTTCATAACAATTGAAGATGCATCTCGAAAATGTTCTAAGCTTTATCATCGATATCAACTGTGCAGCAAACAAAAGCGCCATGTCTCCCATATATTCCCTGTGTGTTACTTAGTAAAACTGCCGTTATGTCGTACGTGGCATTGTGAAGGCAATACCGCAATCATGTATGCACAGGGATGGTGCTTCAGTGGATCCTTGTCATGGTTTCCCACTTACATTAATTGCACTGATTGAATAATTTCATCGGATCTCTATAGTTCACACTGTTATTAGGCACTGAAAGTAGGTGTAGTGAGAGTCACGCCTAACACACCAGCACTAGTGGGAGAGGGTGTATCGGCGTTTACGCTCGGTACGCACTGCAAGAAGAGCGTGAGTGGTGTGGTGAAACAGATGCTCAGCTGTGTTGGCTTATGTGAGGAGGTACCAGAGAAGCTGCAAGACACTGTCACTGGCATTTCGGGCAGTGGGCCAGCCTATGTAAGGGTAGTGTAGTGATGCATATATGTAAGGTGTAAGAAATTCAAAAATAATTGTTTGAACTAACACTTTAAAATTCATAAATACATTTATTGATGTGCCAATTATAGTTGGTATTCCAGTAGTGATTGCTTATCATCTGTGTAGGTGTAAGATAAAGTTACAGACTGATCATATATAGCACGGGTAATTGATGTTATTTTGGGTCTCTTGTGAAATGGTTTTCCAGATATGTATAGTGATCGAGAGCCTTGCGGATGGAGCAGTGAAGATGGGAATGCCCCGAGAAATGGCATTGAAGTTTGCTGCCCAAACGGTAAAGGTACGTGTCTAGCATTTGAAGTCATGCAGTGAACACCTTATTAAAGATGATCGCTTGTTATGTTTAACTTGACGTTGCACATGTTGCATGTGATAGGCAATGGTCACTAACTTGCAACCACTATTCATATATAACATGCAACAACACATTGAAATAGGAATCAGAAATGTGTAAAATCATTGATATACAAGGGTAAAACGGACTTTACTGATAACATTCTTGTGCCCACAGTAGAGTGAAATACTTTGTGCAGGCAATTTGTGTCTTGCCTGCACATCATTACCACAGTTGGAGTAAATGAATGTAGTGTCATTGCCAGATTTGACATTGGGTTGAGTTTTTAGCTCATCTGACATAGTCAGATGCAGCTTGTAGAATCGCTTGATCGTCCGTCCGTCCGTCCACAGTTGGGCACAAATCTTAACCGCTCGACGTACGGTCACGATATTCGGCACAATTCGACATTGGGGGGGATCGTCAAACGAGTTGGATTTCGAAGCGGGGGCAAAGTCCAAAGGTCAAAGAGGTGTAAAAGAAGGGGAACATTCCAACTTCCTAACCTTAGTATAGGGAGGAAATGCGCAGCCATTTGCGCAACTCCGCAAATCTAGAAATGGCTCGACCTAAGGCATCGTGATAGTTGTTGGTATAGGCATTCATGGGTAGGAAAAAGCCATCACTGTGCCGAGAAATTGGGAAGGTCAAAGTCAATGGCTACAGGGCAGATTTTAGACATTGTTCTGAGGGACTCATGGTCTGCACGAGCGACTTGATAAAACTTTTGTTTCAGCGGCGGTCGACCCTAGCAATTGTTTTATGATGGCATTAATTGATAGACGCGATGAATCATACTTTTTGCTGACGATCGAGAGAGTAAGTGTCAGATAAGCCCTGTATTGTAACCTCCAGAAAGCAGGGTTAAACTTGGTTCTGTACTGGTCTGTTCAGAAAGAATCTTGACTGCGACTTGTCCCGGCGGTTGCCCAGTGAGAATCTCTACAATGCCCTGGAGTATACGAGGCTTACCGATGT